TGTACACGTGGCTATGTTAGAGGGGAACATGTAGCTATTTCGGGGGACGGAGTACTAGTGTATGTAGTTTAGTCGGAGAGCGTAACGCTATAGCCTAATGAGAACAGTGACGACGATTCATAAACACGGAACTATGTACATGTATGACAGAGAGAACACTAACGTGTCTGTTTCACTGCATAGAGCCTTTTTACTGTAACAATAAGTGTTCAAAATGCCAAGTTTTACCAGGAAAAAATATATAATTTCCCTCTAAGTTTTATTTCCTTGATTATAGTTCGACTATTGAATAGTTTTATATTCAATTGATATTCGGGTTATTTGCCTGGTGCGTTAAATGTTACAATGAATATATTGCTTGGTTACCATGGTTACCATGACAACTGGATATTAAAATTTCACCCCCCCCCCCACATTCCATTTCAAACAACTTCCAAAATTCAAATAACTAAATATGTTCTAAAAATACAAACATTTCTGCTATGATTTATCGCTATTTAAACTATACTTTACTTTAGACATGTCAAATAAACTAACCTGAACCACTCAGTGGGACATTACAGTGATTGAAATGCTTCCGATATAAATCTATCCGTGGTGTTAGTCACGTTGACTGCGGTGTCATCATCCGGGTCTCTAATAGTGTATGATATACTGTTAACCTGCTGCTATACCTTGCCGCGTCTCGGTCAGATTTTGCATGAATGTAAATGTATGTGAAATAAAAAATGACAAATAAATTAATATTGATAGTACCCAGTCTTGTTTCAATATAAGGATTGTTCATGTCTAAGATCATAAATATAAATTCATTAATTTTGTGAGAGACAATTAAATATATTCAATAAATCTACTAAATCTCAAGGATATTAATAAACACACTTTGGGAAGCAATTTCACGTTAAAAAAATAACGACAGTCAATAAACAAAGAACTTAAAATTGTCACCATAGAGATGATTGTAATTTACGACTATACTCTCTAGTCATCCATCGCTTTCATATAACTAAAACATTCTTCTCACGTCACCCTTCTCTTGCATTGACTAACTTTTATCTTGCAATCGCTCGAACATTCTTCCTTCGTCACCCTTCACTTGCATTCGCTCAAATACTCTTCTCTCGTCATCATTCACTTGCATTCACTCCAACATTCTTCTCTCGTCACCATTCACTTGCATTCACTCAAATACTCTTCTCTCGTCATTATTCACTTGCATTCACTCCAACATTCTTCTCTCGTCACCCTTCACTTGCATTCACTCAATTACTCTTCTCTCGTCACCTTTTACTTGCATTCACTCAAACATTCCTCTCTCGTCACATTTCACTTGCATTCACTCAAATATTCTTCTCTCGTCACCCTTCACTTGCATTCACTCAAACATTATTCTCTCGTCATCCTTCACTTGCATTCACTCAAACATTCTTCTCTCGTCACATTTCACTGGCATTCACTCAATTACTCTTCTTTCGTCACCCTTTACTTGCATTCACTCAAACATTATTCTCTCGTCACCCTTCACTTGCATTCACTCAAACATTATTCTCTCGTCACCCTTCACTTGCATTCACTCAAACATTCTTCTCTCGTCACATTTCACTGGCATTCACTCAATTACTCTTCTTTCGTCACCCTTTACTTGCATTCACTCAAACATTATTCTCTCGTCACCCTTCACTTGCATTCACTCAAACATTCTTCTCTCGTCACATTTCACTGGCATCCAACTCAATTACTCTTCTCTCGTCACCCTTCACTTGCATTCACTCAATTTTTCTTCTCTCGTCACCCTTCACTTGCATTCACTCAATTACTCTTCTCTCGTCACCCTTTACTTGCATTCACTCAAACATTCTTCTCTCGTCATCATTTACTTGCATTCACTCAATTACTTTTCTCTCCTCACCCTTTACTTGCATTCACTCAAACATTCTTCTCTCGTCACCCTTTACTTGCATTCACTCAAACATTCTTCTCTCGTCATCCTTTCCTTGCATTCACTCAAATATTCTTCTCTCGTCACCCTTCACTTGCATTCTCTCAATTACTCTTCTCTCGTCACCCTTCACTTGCATTCACTCAAACATTCTTCTCTCGTCACATTTCACTGGCATTCACTCAATTACTTTTCTTTCGTCACCCTTCACTTGCATTCACTCAAACATTATTCTCTCGTCACCCTTCACTTGCATTCACTCAAACATTATTCTCACGTTACCCTTCACTTGCATTCAATCAAACATTCTTCTCTCGTCACATTTCACTGGCATTCACTCAATTACTCTTCTCTCGTCACTCTTCACTTGCATTCACTCAATTACTCTTCTCTCGTCACCCTTCACTTGCATTCACTCAAACATTATTCTCTCGTCACCCTTCACTTGCATTCACTAAAACATTATTCTCACGTTACCCTTCACTTGCATTCACTCAAACATTATTCTCACGTTACCCTTCACTTGCATTCACTCAAACATTCTTCTCTCGTCACATTTCACTGGCATTCACTCATTTACTCTTCTCTCGTCACCCTTCACTTGCATTCACTCAATTACTCTTCTCTCGTCACCGTTTACTTGCATTCACTCAAACATTCTTCTCTCGTCACCCTTCACTTGCATTCACTCAAATATTCTTCTCTCGTCATCATTCACTTGCATTCTCTCAATTACTCTTCTCTTGTGACCCTTCACTTGCATTCACTCAAACATTATTCTCTCGTCACCATTCAGTTGCATTCACTCAAATACTCTTCTCTCGTCACCCTTTACTTGCATTCACTAAAATACCCTTCTCTCGTCACCCTTCACTTGCATTCACTCAAACATTTTTCTGTCGTCACCATTTGTGTAGGTTTTAGGTTTAGGTGAGTAGTCTGTAGGTTTTTACATGCAGGGTGGTATATGTGTATGTGTAGGTTTTAGGTTAATACATATATAGGGTGTAAATATTTACGTGTGAGTTGTTTGAAGGTTTTAGCATGCAGGATGGTATATGTGTATGTGTAAGTTTTAGGTTGTTACACATAGGGTGTAAATATTTACGTGTGGGTAGTCTGTAGCGTTAAGCATGCAGGGTGGGATATGTGTATGTGTAAGTTTTAGGTTGTTACACAGAGGGTAAATATTTACGTGTGAATAGTCTGTAGTTTTAAGCATGCAGGGTGGGATATGTGTATGGGTGGGGTTTGGGGTGTTACACAGAGTGTAAATATTTACGTGTGGGCAGTCTGTAGTGTTAAGCATGCAGGGCGGTATATGTGTATGTGTAAGTTTTAAGTTGTTACACATAGGGTGTAAATATTTACGTGTGAATAGTCTGTAGTTTTAAGCATGCAGGGTGGAATATGTGTATGTGTAGGGTTTAGGTTGTTACACAGAGGGTAAATATTTACGTGTGAGTAGTCTGTAGTTTTAAGCATGCAGGGTGGGATATGTGTATGTGTAGGTTTTAGGTTAATCCATATATAGGGTGTAAATATTTACGTGTGAGTTGTTTGAAGGTTTTAGCATGCAGGATGGTATATGTGTATGTGTAGGTTTTAGGTTTAGGTGAGTAGTCTGTAGGTTTTTACATGCAGGGTGGTATATGTGTATGTGTAGGGTTTAGGTTGTTACACATAGAGTGTACTGGGTTTAATTTGAGTAGACTAAACACTAATTATGTAGAGAATAATTATGTTAGTATGTGTGGACTGTTGGTTATAGAGGTATACTTATTCACGTATATATATTTTATCAGAGTGTAATTATTTACGTATATCTATTTTAACAGAGTGTAATTATTTACGTATATATATTTCATCAGAGTGTAATTATTTACGTATATATATATTATCAGAGTGTAATTATTTACGTATATATATTTTATCAGAGTGTAATTATTTACGTATATCTATTTTATCAGAGTGTAATTATTTACGTATATATATGTTATCAGAGTGTAATAATTTACTTGTTTTGAGGGTCTAGGTTATAGGGATAGTTATTTACTGGGATATCATTATCAACATGTATGTATGCGTGTATAGTAGGATACACGTATATACCTGTTTTCAGGCACTAGGTGTGTATACTGCATATTCCGGAGGTAAAAAATACAGGCATTATACATATTTTCCTGCCACTCGAACATTTTTTTAACAATTTTCATTGAGAGGTATTATATAAAACCTTCAATGTAAATTACACAAAAGAGATATAACCTATTATCATATACATGAACGAGGTCATCGATAACATGTCGCTATAACACAAGGTCATCGATAACATGTCGCTATAACACAAGGTCATCGATAACATGTCGCTATAACACAAGGTCATCGATAACATGTCGCTATAACCTATTCATATAAATTCATACTGATATATTCTTCCGTGCTGTTTCTTTTGTCTTTTCAAAGTTAAGTAAAATACCATTTTCAATTCAACTTGTGTGTATGTGATGTGTTGTATTTATATTCAATCCCTTGTATTTTGTAATGTTTGTATGTGTGTATCATGCGGATATTTCATTTTCGAGGAATACATAAGATCAATGATAAATGTTCAAAAGCGCCGTATAAATGAAGATACACGTAGCTCTGTTTGATTTGAATAGCAAACTTATTATGATTTTGACATAACTGTACCTTACACCGAATAACTGACATTTCTTTGTGAAAAAATAAACAAATGCCCAACAATCCTCAAGTATCAGTCAAATATGGAAAATTCTTTCCAAATTAGTATCGCCGATGTGAAGTGTATTTAAAAACGACGTCCTACGAAGAAAAATCCATTGTGAAAATCACATGATCGTAAATGTTCTATCTTCCATTGAATACCTGTGCTTATTGTGCCGAGTATAAATGTTGAGTGAACTAAATCAACAGTTTCCAATTTATCAAACGAAATCACTCGAGTGTGAACACGTACTGAAAATATCCTACTTGCTCATCTGTCAAAGGGGCTACGACAGAAGCAACATTCCTATTGGACAACGCCCCGGTAGGAAGGCGTAAGTGTGCGTATAGAATTGTGAAAACACGAAAAACCAGTTTGCAATGGCATTGACATTCGCCTAACAATTGTGGCTTAATTTAGCGGTCAGTCCTATCCGCTCAGCGCTAGGGTTCACTGTATACGTAGTGGGTGGACGCACTGTAGACGGGTGAGTTCTTGCTTGTGGTCACTCTTCATTTCGAAAAGAGATTGTGGACATCGTACAAGACTCTTTCTAAGGTAGGTTCATTTAATGGTTTACTTTTAGTTAAAATATTGCTTTTGATATAATTTAAATATTTCGTTGATGCACCTGCGTAAAAGGTGTGATTACATTACAATCAGGTAAAGGTTACAGATACCGGTGTCGTTAGTTATCATTGGCAGTAACAACTAGAACTGGACAAATGAATAACTATAAAGATAGCTTAACGTTCCCGAAAAATCACAGGGGCATTGTTTTACTCGTTGAAACAGGAACTTACCTTTTTTGATGTTTTACACATGTACACGATCTAATTTCTTACCTTAAACATATGGGCCTATCTCCCAAGAAAAGACACACTTAATTGTCTGTGTATGGTTTTACAAAATAGCTACTTTAATATTCACCAGATAATACACACGTTATAATGACAGTAGACGTAGACAAATATATACAGGCTAATAATAACTCTACCCGGTGTTTGTAATATTAGCACAATCGATTATAATACGGATAGAAATCGAGTTCCGACCATTTATCGCCGAAACAACCTTGTTGTCTATGTATTGCATTTAAAACTGGAACCATTCTGGCGTTTCAAAGATAAACTGGCATTGAATAGAATAATTCTAAGTGATTTTTATTTGACTCTAGACCAGACCCAGCAATTCACACCTTGTATGTATATATATAGTTAAGGGGTTCACAAATCACCTGTGCATTCCTTAAGGATTTTCCAATATGTAAATTAAAGTGCCATATTAAATATGGCCGCACCTACTTAGTGCAAAGTCAATAGCATACCTTCGTTAGTTAAGTATCATATGCATGTTTATTTTCTTTCCCAACGTGAGATTGTCTCTGGTGTCAGTTAAAGATAAAATTGTGAACTGGTTGACATTTGAAACTATATGGACAATCTGATCTGTTCTCTTGTTAATTGCTCGTAATAAACGATCATAATCGTTTTATCTTGTATCAAGTTAGCTATCAAAGAATAAGCAGGCTGCAACCGGGTAGATCTGTTTATAGGTGTACATACGGGTGTAGCACTCCCCCATAGCAGCCACGAGGCGGTTTAAACGCGTTCAAGTGTAAGAAATGTTAGCGTATGGGCGTGACCCGGGTAGAACGATCGATTCTTGTCTCTAAATCCGTCTGCCCATGGCAGGCGAAGCTGAGCATATACTGTTTTGGAGTTGACTACAAATCCATCAGGTTTATTAAATACATAAGAATATATACATATATTTTATTTGTACTGTTTATTTCTATTCACAAACGAGTTTATAGATCAGAAATGTCTACCGTATAATCGATTGAACAAGAGGCTATGGGTGGTTTGTGTGACACGATCGAATTTCACAGCTAGGAGATTTGTAACAAATGACGAGACCTGTTCACAAGTCCTTTCATATACTTCTCTCTACGGCAATATTTGATGCTGTACCTAAACATTACATAGCCGCAGACAGGGCGGGGTTTAGGGGGGAGCCTCCTCCCCACACCTTCTCGGCTATTTGTCTTTCTTCGACCGATACATCTTTTCTGGCCCATGTCATGCTTGAAATTCTACAGCTTCTGGGGGTTTCGCACCTCACACCACTCACCCAGGGCACCAACCCTGGACCCTAGTTGCAATTTGGCCCCCAGTCGTCGGTAAGACCAGTCACGCCCATGCACTATAGCTAGACTGTCCAAAAGCTGACGGTCCCGAAACTAGATATTGTTAGTTACTCTTTCAGTAACACATATACGAACAAAAAAAAGTAAAAATTGCGTTTGTCAAATCACAGTCCCTTATCGAGCAGCTAATGGATCGGTGTGCTTACAACGATACCCTTTTATCACCATATTACATTCAGACTTACATATGTACAACGATACCCTTTTATCACCATATTACATTCAGGCTTACAATGATACCCTTTTATCACCGTATTACATTCAGGCTTACAACGATACCCTTTTGTTACCATATTACATTCAGGCTTTAGGTCTGTCGAATGGCCTCAAAACCAACTACTGTCTATTGTTCACCAATGATTGTCTTGGTTAACAGCTATAGTGACGTAACCATATATCATACCAGATGTTTCCCCATGCACACATATATGCGGCCCTCATATGTTTAAAATCCCATAAACGACCTTGTAGGTGACAATACAGACATTTTGTTCCCTGTTCCCTGTTCCCTATATACTTGGCGTTCTGCTCGTATTAGAGGACATCGGGGAGTTTAGCATTGTTTTCTTTTCTCTCCTGCCTACTCGTCATGTCCGGCGGTCTCTCCCTCTGCACCGCTGGTCAACCCGACGTTAGGACAATGAGGTAGGATATAGTGTATATTAACTTCAAGTTATTCAACTTATAGTTATCACTCGTGATGGCCCGGATGTTAGCACGGGGATCTTAATGTGATAGGAAACCGGCGTACCCGGAGAAAACCCATGTGTTCGGGCAGGTGACCCCATACCGTTTTACGTCCGATCAGGGAGTCGAACCCAGGCCGCCTTGGTAAAAGGCAAGTGTGCTATCCACTGCAGCAGCCGACCACCCCATACCCAATAACCCTATCGGATAGTGTCGTTCATGCTACCGTGCCCTGGTCGTGACATTTCAGTAAACTTGCACTTTGAAGTGGCCCTTGGGTTGCACAACCATCTGAAGATGTTACGAGAACGCAAAAAACCTTAACGAACAAAAGAACAAGCCAAGCAATCACAAGCAATGTGCCGTTTTGAATTGTAACCGCTTTATTGAAATGTACAGTTACAATTTGATCAATTGATATCAACATTATCAACGATAATATTATACATGTATCTATAAAAATTGTCCTAGGATTTAAAAAAGGTACATGGTCGTGAAGGTTTTACAAATGGTCTGAAAAGAATGGCTCTGTGAATGCAGCAAGGAATATGTGCCATCAGAGACATATAAAGCCAGAGTGTAGCATATATGTCTCGGGTGCCATCAAACGCACGAGAGATGCCGATTCCTGATACAGCTTAGCTTAGGAAACCTCTCCCAACTGTCCACAGGTCGGGGTGTACACCCACATTCAGATTCGTCATATTTAGTGTGTGACTTTCCACACTGAAGATCACTCATGCAGAAAGTCAACGACGAGCAGCTGTTTGTTAGGTCAATACCGATCTCGAGCAAGTTTCAGGATTTGTGAAACGAAATGTTTGCATTTCCATTTAAATATCCGATGGCGTGGACATTCTCGTGTGTCCGAGTGACGCCCTGTATCAAGATGATTTCGTATACATCCGTATTGGGAAAGTCTCCATATCTTGAAAAAAAATCTTTTTCTGATTTTGTTTATTTAAGGTAAAGATCACGTGCTTGAAAGAACGGTTACGTAATTATGTGAACTTGTAGTAACGGTAACGTAATTATATGAACTTGTAGTAACGGTAACGTAATTATATGAACTTGTAAGTAACGGTTACGTAATTGTATGAACTGGTAGTAACGGTAACGTCATTATATGAACTTGTAATAAAGGTCACGTAATTGTATGAGCTAGTAGTAACGGTAACGTATTTATATGAACTTGTAGTAAAGGTTACGGAATTATATGAACTTGCAAGTAACGGTTACGTGATTGTATGAACTTGTAGTAACAGTAACGTAATTATATAAACTTGTAAGTAACGGTAACGTATTTATATGAACTTGTAATAAAGGTCACGTAATTGTATGACCTTGTAGTAACGGTAAGGTAATTATATGAACTTGTAAGTAACGGTTACGTAATTATATGAACGTGTAAGTAACGGTTACGTAATTATATGAACTTGTAAGTAACGGTTACGTAATTATATGAACTTGTAGTAAGGGTCCAAGTTTGATATAAGCTGGTAGTAAGGGTCACGTGTTCATATACACTTGTAGTAAGGGTCATGTGGTAGAAATAAAGGGTCACGTGTTTATATAAACCGGTGGTATGCGTCACGTGTTTAGTTAAACTGGTGGTTAGGGTCACGTGTTCTTGTCATAAATTGGTGGTATGGGTCACGTGCTGTTATGGACTGGCAATATATGTCACGTGATTATATATCAACCAAGGGTGTTATATTTATCGTATTCTACCAATACTACAGATCTGGACATTTACCCCTCCACGACACCTTTGTTATATCATACTTCATCTATATAAACCAATGAATCCGTCATTTGGAAGAAATTCAAATTGATAACCTTTCAACCCTTAGTACGTTCCGCTTACTCGTGAATGGTTTTGTATGTCATAACGTAATGAAATGGGCCATACATTGATATCGAGTTGACCCTTTGAAATTGACAACAGGCGCCGACGGATATTTGTCGAGCTCAGTTCAAGGTAACAGTTACTCTTTGCCCCAGAAGCACACATACAAGCACAAGGCTTACATTAATTGATGCTAATGACTTTCGCTACAAATAGGAATACCTGATGGTCAGTGATGGTTGACAGCATTCCTGTGTTGGTCATACGTCCGTGGAAAAGATTGCTAACATATATAGTTATGTGCATGCTAGTTACATAAATCGTATCCTCACATAATTACAGATATGGTTATAAAAAACACACTTAATATATTGTCCCAGCATTCTGTCTGAAAATACCACATAACGGCATAACTATTCCTTTCTGGTAGTAAACCCTGGTCACACGAAATAAAATAGGTTAATACTAGATACCACAAGAGCCAAACCACAAGGATAAAATCATTGCTGGACCAGAAGTACACTCGACACGAGGGATGTTTGTAGGATTTTACCATGCTACCGGATTAATGCGGCATTAGCTATAGTCTGCCGTCAACTTACGACTCTCATGTACGTATGTCGACATAATTATTTATTCGACATATGATTATGTCGACATGTTTTTAAAATTATGTCCGGACATGCGTCACTGGTTCGTAAGTCGATGGTAGAATTTGTTGACGAGTCCAATTTCTAAGTGTTATAATGGAATGAGTGGGAAAACTATTAGTCCACGACTCAAAAATATGTGCCTCTACAATTTCTGTGACAA